CTTTGTACAAAGTTACGTCTTTGTGTGGGACAGTGTTTCCTTGCTGAGCTGCAGTGAAGGGATAGAAGTGAAAGGATCACCAGAGTTTACAAAGGTCATGAATGTTTGCATCAAATTTTATGATACAACCAGCAATTCTGAACCACAAATGATAACCAGCTGGTGAGGCTGGATTCATTCACAGAGGAGCATGAACGTCTGAAGAAAATGTCATGGCCACCTAATATCCATCTTGTTGAGGTATTTGAATTTGGACCAAGATGGTGGACCAACTAATAGACTGACATGGCTTAAAACAAAAGAGTGCACTCAAGCTGCTCATCGGACAGGTAGGATTACTCAGTGCTTTGTGATCGGTTCTACATTGGTGTGCATTGTGAGTGCTGTGTCCACTCTGTACTTGCAGTGATTCCAACAGGTAGATTAAAACAACTTTTGCTGAGCAACAAGTAGGTTTTTGACCATTCTAACTGTGTGTCTCTAATCTAGGCATGGCAATATTAGCCTGTCAACTGGTCCAGAATGAAATATCTCAACAATTGAAAAGATCAGCACAATCTTTTTGTGTAGGCATTCATAGTCCCTGGACGATGAATCCCAATGACTTTGGTTGTCCCCTGACAATTCCTATAGCGTCGTGAGGTTCACATTTAAGGCTTTGACTGAAATGTCTCAGCAACCATTGGATGGATTGTTCAAGATCCTGCTCAAGATCAGTTGTAATTCCCCGAATTTTCATCTATCAGGTCAAAATTTAATTTCGTCCAATTCTTTGTTTTTTAACGAAATACCTGCAAAATGCCTAATCAACCTCAGTGGTACTTTGTGTTAAGTGATATTTTAGCATGTTACAGTAAACATGGTTAACATTATCCCTGCTAGACACCAGAATGTTAACAAAGTCACCGCAAGTGTGTTTTTTTAAGCTATTGTATGGCGGTAGTAGATGAACAGTTAACACAGTGAATGTTGAATGAGACAAAAAAGCAGACAACACTGCTGCTCACTTAAGTGGATAGAGACTTAAGGATTGTCAATTTCAGAAGATACAAAAATGTTCAGATGTTCCCTCATGAACATCACAAGGAGCTTTGCAGTGCTATCCAAAGTTCTGAAGAGCCTTTTATTGGCGGCATGCAGCAGCTTTTAGGTCGATACTTTAGGACAACTCTCTTATTGATCTGGCAGCAGGTGTGCAACGTTGTTTTTTTTAAAGGATACTACAGTAAATGTGACAAAAGCAAAATGATTTCCTGCCTGGTTGGATTTTCAGTGAAGGGTTTCGACAGATGCTGTACTGTGCACTATAAAGTCGACCCTGCACTTTAGAACCTCTAATCAACTTTGTCAAATGTCAAACACTTTTCTGGGACATTAGCAGCAAGATGTTTGTACAGTATAGAGGCAGCTTTCTTTCCCATGGGAGATACTTGTCATAAAAAATACAAGGATGAGCAGTATTCTGGTATCTCAGAGTAGGTATTTGTTGTATTACTATCTGCCGGTACCATTACCGGTGCTTACAAATAGAAAGTAAATATCTGTCATAGCTGGTTCAGTGAAGGTAACCTCAATCATAAAATCATTTTGCTTAATCCAGCTTTTATTTAAAGATGAAACAAAGCAAGGAATGGATTTCTGCATGATCAAATAGGTATGGACAAGCTTTGAAATCACACCATTTTGCCTTGCTTCCTGGGCTCCTTTCAGAAGGTTGATAATACAAACAATACAACACAGCACTGACTTACTACATGCTCCTTAGGTGTATGTCAGGGTCCTTTAAGGCTCTGCTGTGTTACACACAGCTGCATAATGATCAAATCAGACTGCCTGTCAATACATGTGTAGCTGCATTCAGACAGAAACTTGTATAAATAACATAGTACAAGGTCTCTGATTAAAGAACAAAGTATAACCAACAGTAAGTTACACAATAAAGCTGTGAAGGCCACAAGTCTGCGTGGAAGCCTGGAGAAAATATGAGATTTATTTATTTACTTTTCTGGTAACAGCAAGAAAATTATTTTGTGATCTTGACCTTAGCTTGTTTTCTTGATGCTGAAGAAAAATTTATATTAAATTAATAAAAAAAGTCAGTAATTACATACAAGACCTGTCTGACCCTCTGTAAAATTAATCATTGGTTGTGTTTCATACTGAACAGATGAGTTGATGGGCTTGTAAAAGGTGAAAATGCCAATCCAAACAATTCTTTTGCACCTGAATATTTGAACTGTCCACCCAAACCCTTTAATGGCTGACAGACTATTAAAAGTAGCTGTTTTAAGAACTCATAAATCAAAAAAATCCTTTTTTTGACTTGCTTCCATTAGCAGGATAACAGCGTTACTAATATAAATTCAATGATTTTGGTGAATGCAGTTGTCTTTTCAGCGTGGGAACTAATGTCATGTTTTGCAAGAATGTTTTGTTTGTTCTTGATTCACACAGTTATGAACACCAAGGTTTCACTGTCTTTATGCTCCACTTTACCGAATACATTTCAACAAATGTCCTTTCAAGGAGCTTCTACTCAGTGGTGGAAATACTGGAAACCACTTGGATACTAGATCAAACTCAATTTAACTTTATTAACATTCAAGTTAACATATATAGCTTTATGTCTTTTCTATCCAAGAGTGACATGTGAAGATCAATATTGATCTCATATCTGTGTGTTAATTATGGAGCTGCAGTCTAGCAGGGTTTAGTCTAGCTTAGCATAAAACTGGAAGCAGGGGATAACAGCTAGCCTGGATGGATAGCGGTGGTGCGGGGCAGGTGGCGGAGTGGTGGGGGAAGGGGATTACGGTAGTATTCTTTACCCATTACCATTGACAACAACATTGCCCTGCACGATTGCTCTAAAAGTTGCTCTGTGTATCATCAGCTTAGAGTCTACAGTCATGCTAACAGCTCAGCTGCATTTAGGCATGTACTTAGAGCATGCTAACATGCTCAATGACAATGTTAACATTCTAATGCTAAGCAGATATAAGTGCTCACCATGTCCGTTAAAGTTTAGCGTGTCAGCATGGGGATATTTGCCACATTTTCGAGTGGCCCTGGTGTCAGCCTAAGGCACCTGTGCAGTGCCCATTCTCTCTGATCAGCATTTGATATGCCACACCTGTGAGGTGGATGGATTATCTCGGCAAAGGAGAAGTGCTCACTAACACAGATTTTGACAGATTTGTGAACAATATTTGAGAGAAATAGGCCTTTTGTGTACATAGAGAAAGTCTTACTGTGCTTTCAGACCAAAAGCAAAGCGAGCGTTCGGGTGAGTTTACAAACAAAGTTAATGCAAAGATGCGTAGAGCCGTTTTTATATACAGTCTATGGTAGAGCCGCAATTTCCTGTCGGGTGGCGACGCAAAGGCAAATTTCCAGCTCGAGCGAATTTTCGCGGGTTCTGATCGCCTTCTCGTGTTGTGTGTAAACACTTGCAGCAAATGTACCCTAAAATTATGGCTCATTTTGGTAGTTGTGGAATCCATGAACATATCTTTCATTTTGCAGTATAAATTCAGAATGTTATACATTTGGAGACATCTGCAGCATTAGTTTGTGAGGTCTAGTTCTGCATGTGAAACTGCTGAGGGGATAACTTGTGTGTTTGGTTATATGGCTGCAAGTAGTTTAAGGTTAAAATTCTGTTATCAGTGTTTTACTTTTGCTCCTCTAATGAACTCTGGAGTACTTGGAGTGATTCATGTTCAGTCAGAGTTAAAATATATATTAATGTATTAACCTGTGGGAAAAGAAAATGGAAACGTCCTTAATGCTTCAAGAGAAAAAAAAGCACCATGTAAACACAACCTTCTTATTAGATTATATATGTGTGCTTTGAACTACTTTTCACAGGTTAATGCACAAATGAATACTCAAGAATAAGGCCGACGTTAATTAAAGGTTGACTAAGATTAATTATTAAATGCAAATTGTAATTGAACTTAGGATAGCAAGGTGCTTACGGGTTTGGGTCATTCTACTCGAAGACATGCAAATGTCAAACTATTAATGAAGAAACCATCATTTTTCTAAATAACTTAAAGCCATGTGAAGAATTGGGGCCGTGTCCTACAGGTGTCCCAAGTCTTGTTATTGTAATTTCAAGCTGGCTGTATGTATTTTACACTCAGTTGCCAGTTTATTAGGCACCACTGAGCTAAAACTAATGTATTGTAATTCAACATTCCTGCAATAAATCATATCTTCATGAATGTTATAATGTTCAGTGGTTGCTGACACCACTTGTTGAGAGGTGTTAATTCAACTATACAATCATTTTAGAGGCTGCAGTTTATGCTGCTGTTGGAATGTGTTGCAATATACTGACAGATGTTTCTAGTCTACCCAATTTATATCCATGTGAATCAACTAAATATTTGAATTAGATATTAGTTTGTGTTTTACTTTGATGTTTCTGTAGCTGCTTTGCCGCCATCTTCAATTTCCCCCATGCATTGCACATCTACCACACGTATAAATCAAATTTAGTATGCATACTTCCATCTTCACATCTTCAAGTATAATTAGTTAATTATACTCAAAGACGATAATTTTAAATGCTTTACATCCTCAAAATTTTTTTACATATTAGTATGTAGCATTAAGCTGGGGTGTACCTAATAAACTGGCAATACTATCCTGTTTGTACAAAAGTGTGAGTTATACCAAAGAAATCTATTTGAAACTGGGGTGGTGAAGAGAAGATGAGTGAAGGTTATTAAATTGAGCATATTAATGTAAATACTCCAATAACTCAATGAACAGTTCAGGGTGACTGAACAACAGAGACTGTACCATCAAACTGATTAACCTCATTGTTGTGTGTCTGTGTGAAACCAGTGAAATCTGTTTTCCCTTAAAAATAAAACCATCAACACATAGACCGAGACAGAGACTTCAATATAATGAATAATGTTTATGATGGTTTATTGTTAAAGGTTTAATGTTAAGTGAACGACAAAATGTCAGACTTACTCAGATTATTATGTTTAAATACTTTTATTGTTATTTGTGCATTATGGTTGGAATATGTGCCAACACAGATTATTACAGAAAAGGCCATAATCAGCCAGTAATATCACAGCATAAATATTTCTGCTAGTCCCATCACTGGCTTTCGTGGTTTAGGCAATAAAACAGGAAAAATTTTAGAGTCACAAGAGGTGATCTCTGTTGGAAGCAAGCTGAAAAGTAAAAAATAAATAGATAAAGAATAGATATTTCTACTGCTACTGTAGATTCATATTTAAAATTCAAATGTGTGTCTGAGCTTTTTTTTGGTTTCATCCGAGTTGCAGGAATACATTAACATGAGTGTTCATCGGTAGCCAGTGGCCATTGCACACTCTTCTCATTTCACACTTATTTAATAGTTTACTAGTATTTATAGCTTCAGTTACATTTAAGGCCAACTTAATGTAAGATGGATGTGTTACAGGTGGAACTTGACTTTCCCAAAGTGACAGTTAGATGTATATAATTAACAATATATGTGCAAGCAGAATACATATTCTAGTCAGTGTGCAACCGCTGGAAAATCTATATTGATGTATTTCAGCGACTGGAACATCTTCAAATTTGGAGTTTCACCACTTATCAAAATGTCATGAAAAAGAATGGCAACTTGCACAGACATCATTCCCAAAGTTAAGGTAAAAGTATATTTATATACATAGAAGTAAAAAGGCTGTGCCTCATTTTCAGGTTTCTGAGGCAAATAATGGCACTAATAAAATGGGTTCATGACACAGGAGCGGCTCCACTGATTCCATTAACAAACATGTTGTCTGTACATTGAAATAATCAATGTTTATTAACAATAACTAATTGTTGGATATGGAAAAGAATTCCATAAAAATGTAATTTAATGTATTCTGGGATCACAAATCACAAAAAAATGTGCGCAACTACAAGAAGGCACCATGAGAAGTTTCCCTCCCACATCGTAACATTAAACTGCTTTGACTAATCACATTGCAATAAGGAGCAGTTACCACCGGATTGGGGAGGCCCTACAGACTGTACTGATACCATGCACTATGTAACTGTCATGGTACACTGTTTTGCATTTAGTATTCAAGACAATTTTGTATTTAATTTTTTGTACGAATATGAAATGATACAACGTGTTCACAGATTGATGTTGATTAGTCTGTCCAAAGAGTAAATGTTCATTCTTGATCTTGGAAACCGTATACCAAATCTTTCAATTCCATATCATGGCCCTCCTAGATCTGGAAACACTTACAGCTGTGTTGACTTTCAGTTAAAACATATTTTTGGTCAAATTTGATTTTTTCTATTCTAGATGTCTATGGAGCTGCCACATTGCTGTCTTGAATTTGCTTTCAAGTGGTGTTGTGGTGTCCACCAACACCACAAAAATACATGTATACATACATGCACTCCATACTCAACCCTGCTTAGAAATAGTTTGTAGAATAAGCTGGAACACAGCCTGGGATTTCCCCCGCACATACAGTATATTGTTAATTTCCTGTCCAGAGTGGGGTAATTTCTAATGAAAAGTAAAATCACTGAAGTAGCATATATGCTAAATGAACAGCCAATCTGGAAATAAGATGCTTGACAATCCAAATGCTCATGTAAAAATCTTTTAGAGTTCCCAAATTATGTATGACATGTTGTTTGATTGTTCTACAAACAACAAATGTGTTCTCAGTCTCAGATAATTTACGGTCAAAAGGCCAGTGACTAAAATCTACAACCCATGTGAAAACAAATTGAACAGTGTACAATTGTACTGAATTGTACTACAACTGTATTAACTTCCTACTCCAAACAAATACAGAGAAGCATTTCACCAGAGTAACCGCTAGCAGCAGTTAGCTAATTAGCTGTGCAACTAGCGGTCCTCTTGCTCGCTGACTCTGCCTGGACCAGGAGTTTGGAGCACCGGAGAATGTTTACACCTCTAGCACAGGAGCTCTGGACCGCCGAGAGGTGGAGGTTTTCACACCCTGGATAAGGGGGACCCAGCAGGGAACGCTGGCAGGGGAGTGACACCGGAATGGGCACCGGAACTGGAACTGTGCGTGCGGGCAAGGGAACCGGGCTCAGCAGTGTCCCAGGTAGACTAGGACCAAACACAGCCTCTGAGACTGACGGAGGTCAGACAGAGAATACAGTGGCTCTGACCAGGACTCTGGTCCAACAGTCCGACAACACCTCAGTTGTTGGACTGAGTGTGGACTGGAAGGTACAGTCACTCATTGTCACATCTTGATGTATAAAGTGGTATTAGGAGACAGGATGAGACAGGGCTAGCTGGTTAGCATGCTATGCTATATATTGCTGCGATATAATACAATTTGACATGTCATAACTGTGATTTATTCACATTCTGTTGATAATTTTATTTAATTTTAAAACCTAAATTCTTACATATAGATCCTTAAAGCCTTCTCCAGCTCCTTAAAGCATTCTCTATTGTGCTGATATACTGTTACATTCGTTTCCAGCGATGCTCACACTGCACACATCATGTCACTGTGCCTTTGTGGAAGTAATGGAAATTAATTGCACTTGAGCTCTGCACATTTCAGCAGCTGCAAATAAAGACCTTGTAGAAGCATTTCATTTTAGTCACTTAACCCATTATGTCTGCCTCAGTTATGACAAATCCAGATAACTCACCATTCGGGTTGTCAATGGTCTTTGGTGTTAAAGGTCCCATATTTTTTTTCATGTCTTTTCATCATAAATGTGTCCCCCGCTGTGTCTAAAGACCCCAAACTATAAAAAAAAAAAAACATCCTCTCTCAGTCTTTCAGTAAATGTGTGTGCAAATATGCTGTTTGAATTTGGCTCCTTTTATGATATCATGGAGGGCTCTGTATAGCATAGGACCTCCTCCAGCCCTTCAACACAGTAGACAGCCCTGCCCACTAAACGCCTACTGAATACACCGCTCTCAGCCATGCCCCCCCCATCCAACTTGTTTTTCCAACACAACATGTATTCCATCGCTGACCAAAATCAGTAAATAAAGTTGTGTTTTTGTACTGTAATCACTGAGGCCCAGCCAGACTTCGACATCTCGACACTTTGATTCAGTGGTGTGTCAGCTAGTTCTGCCCCTTAGCAGACTTCCAGTAGTTGGCCAATCAGAAGAAAGTGGGCTTTTAGGGAGGGTGGCCTTAAAGAGACGGGAGCTAAAACGGAGTGTTCAGATAGAGGGTGAAAAGAGGTGCTCAAGCAAAGGACAGTATGACAAAAAGCATGTAAACATTTTCTAGTAGAAACCCAAAATAAAAGTATGAACCTGAAAATGACCCTTAAGTGCACTGTTTTTGTTCCAACCTTCCAAAGTTTGTCTTTTTCTTAATGGGGGTGGGGGGATTAATGAAAATGGAGAACTGCCCCAGCACAATGTCCCTTCAAAACTGTTCAGTCAGTGGCATTCAACATCAGGCTTGTATGTGCAAACGGAAATAAAAGATGTGCACCAGAGTTAAAAAGTGGTTTGAGCGGAAAAATACCCTTTGTTCCTCCCGTTGTGTGAACAATAAATTGTTTGGTCAGTAAGCTTCGAGAAAAGGTGTGTGTCAACATTTCATTCCACGCTAACACTGCAGGCTTGTTGTTCACCGAAACACCCCTAAAGACAGAGCTTTGTATCCAGTTAATAAGCCAACTTCACAATATTACGGAATAACTGGATACAAATGTTCTAATCCGGGTATCAAGACCAGGTACATTTTTGAGGGGAAGTTTTTCTATTACAGTGACAACCTAAGTTTGCTGAGGTAATGAATGACACCACTGGAATAACAGGCACACACACAGGCAGTTACTCATAGGCAAAAACCTTAACATTCACTAGAGGGCTGTCAACAGTAAAGCACAACACGGTTATTTGAGATACCATCCTCAAAACAGAGCACGCAGTTGTTTACTGTCACTGATCCTTTAAATCAGGACCGGTTACTGTATCTCCATTCATTGGACTGTGTCGTTTCTGTATACTCTTGAAAAAAGTGGAGACAAAGCTGCGGATGGAAATCCATGATGGAAAGAAAGCGCAGATTTCTGTGCACTTTTGGGTGCATAGCTCAAAGGACGTGAGCTCCTCAATGTCACGGCGTATGACACATAAATACTTCATGTGAGAAATACACACTCACATAAAGTAATTAACATCTAGTGATTTGTCCATGTACAACAAGTCACTTGTACAGTGTGTGTGGATGTACTTGACCCTGAAGCCTTTGATAAATGTTCAAGGTTTGGGATCAAACATCCGGGTACATCATGGGTGTACAGCAGGAGGACGTCAAACGTGTCCCTGGGCCTGCTGAGCTCGTCTCTCCTCCAGACAGCGACACACCCACATCGACACCACCTCTGCATTACCATCATTATACTGTATGATGAAGGAATGGTCCTAAAAAAATGAAGATAAAGAAGTAATTGTTAAATCTTTTTCATTTAGAAAAACAGCAGACAGTGTTACTGTGGGTTTATTTAGTTTAATATAGAAGAAATAGAATACAGAAGAGGATGACATACTTTATTAATCCCTCTAGGGGAAATTCACTCTGTTGTTATTATGATTATTATTATTGTTATTATTATACACACAGCTCTGAAATACACACATGTACAAACAGGACTTATACAGATGCACTGGGGCATGGAGAGATGTCAAAGTGAGGGGGCTGCCATGTAGTCCCAACGCAGTTAGGGGTTAAGGGCATAGATACTCGTTTAGTTTTTATGTGAAAAACCTGGATTTGCATACTAACAATAATGAGCTGAACAGTTATTTAGTGAATCAATGAATTCAAAAGTCAGACTTGTGTGACAGATTTTGACATTGAATGCAATGGCATGAAATTGATTATTAAAAGTTAGGTTTTACTAAAAAGTTGTGATTTTTTTTTTTTCAGACTTAAATTCCAGAAACTTCAAAGTTTGAGAACGGAATTGAGAAACCTTTTAGTTTCCATTTACAATTAAATGTCATATTTCGATAAACATTTTTGCATTTCACAGATAAAAATCTGCTGACACCAATCTCACTCCATACCGATGACCTTCAGAATAATTATCATCCATGGTAAAAATGGACTGATGGCTGTAAAACACAAGTAATGAGTTTTCTCATATTAACAGAAAAAAAAATAAAAATCTTACAGCTATCAAAAACTGTTAGTATCTATTCTGCTATATTATTTTTATTATCAAACAGATTGGAGCCACAAACATTATTGCACCTTTATGTGAAGTGTTTGGTTCTACTTGTATAATTACTCTAAATCATGGGTCAAGAATAAAATCCCAATAAACTAAACAGGAATATTACTAAACCCTCTTAAATATTTATGTCCAACAGATTTGGTTTTAAATGCAAAACGTTTAAGTAATGGCTTGTCAGGGCATTTTAAGGAAATATATTTGGAGTTTATTGATACATGAGTCATAAAAGGTTGTAAATTCAGCTTAGTAATAAAATGCAGCCGTGGCAGTAACACAAGCAATCTTTGTCGAACATTTAAAAATGAATTAAGAAATGCTTAGAATATGATTTCTTTTTTGATTTTCAACAAAGAATACAGTTTTAATCTAGACTGATTTTCATTAATAATGCCAATAAATTAGCTCTTGAAAACCAAACATGCAGTGTCTGCTGACTGGTATCAAATTTGTTAAATGCCGGCAGTGTTCACTTGTTACTGCTGCATGACCGAAACAGAGATGTCACATGTGGTATCTCAATGACAAGAGTCCCAATCACCAGCCTCATCTGGGGGACTTTTCAGACCAGAGCCAGAGATCACAAAGGTCACAGAGGGGTCAGAGGTGAGAGGGGAGGAGGTTGTAAATGAGACACTTCTACTGAGTCTGACCATGAATTTTATTTGTGGTGTCTCGATGACCAATTAGATAAACAACACTGTGGCCGGCCAGTTTAAATGAACTTGTCAACACTGATTTCAACAGTATCTGTCCTTAACAACAAGAGACTGTCACTGTTAATAGGAGTTCAGCTCTGACTTAAGATGGACAGACACTGTGTATTTTTTATTAAGCTTGTATGTTGTGTTAACTTGCACCACACGTTTTAATCTGCCTTTCTGCACAACCACAGCCTGCAACTTTTATGCTAATGCTGTATGGATCAATTGACCGGCCATGATGCAGGTGCTCACACTGAATGTAAACATGGAAACCCAGTTGGTTTTGCGTTGTGACAACTCCGATATTCAAACAAGACCACCGTGTCCTAAGCAATGGTGACAGAAAGAGAGAAAGGCAGCATTACTTTATGTAATTCTACTATAAACAAAAAGTAATAGGATAGTCTAGTCTGTCGAAGTTTTACATCACATCAGTCTCAGTCAAGAATACAGTGTTAGCCACAACATGTGGAAAAACTACTCTAGTAATATTAAAACAAGCTCACTATAATTTATAATGGATCTTTTGACAGCTCTTTAGCCACTAAATGCTCTACTATGTTCACCAGCTAGTCATTAACTTTGTATATCGGACATTTTGTGCTGGGCGGGTATTATTATGAAAATGCTGATTAGAACTGCTTAAAGTAATTTAGAAACCGGGTCACTATTACAATCTTTGTCCACCAGAGACAACAAGTTAAATCAGTACATATCTTGGTGACACATTTCAAGCGTATCTTTTTTCAACCTGGGCCCTATATTCCCATGTTTTTGTTTCTAAGTGACTAATTGGGCCTTGCTTCCTGCTTTCTTACAGTTTAGACGTTTGCTCCTGCCTCTGCTTGCATTCTTTTGCTGATATTCTTGTTTTTATTCTGCTACAAACTATGAGCAGCGGCTCTGGGATACTTTTAAATCACTGGGACTGTCAGATAAAGTAGGCATAAAGTATTGCCATACTTTAAACCCTTTTATGATCCAAGTGCTATGTGATTGTGGCCAATCAATAGTACTAGCCTGTACAGCAGTGAGTGGAGCTGTAGCTAATGCTAATTAGCAACAAGATGCCACCCTTCTCCACGGACGACTTCCACAAACTTCTACAGAAAATTGTAGTGCTGGAAACCAAGATCCACAGGTTAAACAAAAAGGATCTTACTCTTTAAAAAAAACATCTATCTCTGTTGGGACCCTGTCCACAATGTTTTCAGACACTTGTAATAACAGTCTGAGCCTGTAAGTGGCAACAACAAGCACATAAGCGGACATACTTTGATGGGGCACAATTGCCCCTAAGTATTATTTTGCAGCCCTGTTTCGCTGCTGCCGACTGCAATGCACTTGCTCAATACTCGACCAGTTTCAAAAAATGTGGTCTAAATTAGTCACGTAAACACAAAAACATCGAAAAAACATGGTCCTGGTTGAAAAATAGAGAAGTTACCCTTTAAGGAAACCTGGTGAAAAATGTTTGTTAATGTAATGCGTCAATCTGAAAAAAATTTATATCGTCAGATTAATGCATGAAGTGAGTTCTAAGTTAGTTGTGTTGCAGTCAACTGTTTTTTTTTCTGGGTTGGCACAACGTTAAATACCTCCCCAGCAACACCCAAACTGGTACAGACACTGTAAGATTAGTAACAAAGTAGGACAGACTGGTAGTGACGGTCCACTTTCTTCCTCCTGGGATCTTCTTGTCTATTTGTGGTCACACCCAGAAAATATGATGAACTGAAGATTATGTACTGTATATAAAAATAAAGTCACATGAAGGGCGAATACAGGGAATGCATTTGTGAGTTATTGTAGTATCATAATTCCTTTATAAAATCTACCAAAATCAATTTGTTTGACTTCTGTTCTTTCTTTGCGCATTACTGTTACTTTTGACTGTGAACGTTCAATGTTTACAGGCAAGCACAAGTTTAGTCTGTTGCAATTTTACATTTAAAAGGAAAGAGGTAACACATTCCTGCATGCTCTAATCCTGCACAAACTACAAGATTGTGAAGGACTGGGGGGAGCCCCATCAATCCTGTTGTCCTTCTAATGGGCAGCTGGGGTTAACACAGTCTGAGGTTAATTACTCTCATATCAGTGTGAGCATGTGTGTGTGTGTGTCAGTACGAGACGGGTAGAGTGGACGCTCCTGGGTGCCCCTATGTGCTCAATACCCATCTCATCAATCATTCTTCGTTGCCTCGGTAGAGAGGGAGTGATACAGAAATAAAGAAGGAAGTCCTAAGTGATGTTTTTTTAAAATCCAGCTCTCCACCTCTGCTCCAGAAATTAACTTTGACAGGCCAGAGACATCTGCTGGAATTTGACCTGGATGAAGGTGCGTGGCTTGTCACACCGCACTCGCACACTATGCATGCACACATGCCAAGACAGTGTAGAAATTAAATCATTAACTCAGGCTAAACACACACTACAAAATGTTTCATCTGAAGCCGTGGTTCAGGCCTGATCTTTCTTTCTATAAGGCCTGAACCACGAGATTTAAAACAAATATGATCTCCGTCCACACAAGCGTTTTAGCTGCGTATCAGAGTTGATCTCAGTCTACATTAAAACGACTGAAAATGCACATCGAGTGGCCGTTGATGTACAATAAGCATGTGGGTGCTATTTCATAGTCACAGAAGATTTGAAGTTATTTTTTGCATGGAGCAATAACAAGCTGGGATAGTTACTGAATGTAACATGGGAGTTAAAAGCGGCTGTGGCGGCGGAAAACAGACTGGGAGTCATCACAAAGCAAACAGCGACATGCATAGTACAAGTGTAGGCAAAGTGTTATTTGCACAGTACAAAATATCTTAATAAAAATACCCTGTCAAAAACTCATCGTTTCTAAAGTCCCACCCGCACTAAAACGCTACCCTGAGTTTTAAAACGAAAAGGGGTAATCAGCGTTTCAAACTTCTCTGTTTTAGGTCTTAGTTTTCGCTGTTTTAGTGTGGACGGGAGGTGGAAACGAGGCAAAAGGTCTCCATTTTAAAACGAAAATGCAGTAGTGTGGATGGGGCCTAAATGCATCTTCCAACAACACACAAATAACCCTAAAGTAGGCATTTAAATTACACGTTAAAATTAAAGAAATAATGAAAGCGAGAAAAATAGAGAACTAGAGAAAGAGAGACAGCAAGAAAGAAACGTCAAACTAGACGCTAGTTCCAGTAAACTTGCTATTATTTGAAGGATAACTCTAGAACAGAACAGCCACTAAATTAACTTCTGTTACGATTCTTTTGTCAGATGCCGTTTCCGTGGTCCAGAATGAGATTTCAATCTAAACCTTTAAGCCAACATGGACGAGAAGTTGAAAATAGTCCTTACAACGCTCAGAAAACAACTCAAACACACAAACTCAACTAGGCCAACTCCATCTGCTTTCAATCATGTGATACGATCGAAAGCTCCAGAACAGCAAATAAATGGACCTTGACACAACATTGTTGTGTCAAAGGTAAACATA